TAGTAGGACGGTTCGTCTTCGTCGTTACGACGTACGACGTACCTACCGTACCGTACGTACGTACCTACCGTACGTACGTACACCACTACTACTCTCTCTCTCTCTCTCTCTCTCTCTCTCTCTCTCTCTCTCTCTACTCTCATTTCTGTAGAGTTTGGGTCGTCTCGTTTCGTTCTCTATTTTTGGGTTAAGTTTAGTTCTCTCTAGAGTTTGTTTGTAGTAATTTAGGTTCGTCTCTCTACGATTTGGGGTTCGTAGTCTCTCTCTCTCTCTCTCTCTCTCTCTCTCTCACTAACTCATTTTCATGAAATTTGGTTTCTCTCATATTATGTGTTTGGGACTGCTTTTGGTATCTGCACTAGGAACCCTCTTTTATTTCTCCTCTCTCTCTCTCTCTATTAATCTTTTGTGATTGCGCCTAATCTCTGTTTGCATCATTAACGCAAAAAGGATTTTGTTTTTACGGCCCTCATTTGCGTGTATAATGAGTCTTATTACGTATTGCTGAAATAGTGTTGTCTTTTATTATTATTTTCTCCATTCCCCTTTCTCTAATTATGTAAAAGTTATTGTTTCAGTAATCTCTGCATGCATAATTACCATGACAATGCACATTGAATTGGCATCTAAATGCATTTTTCTTTGTTCGTTTCGTGTTTTGGCCTTTCTCTTCCACTCTCTCTGTTTTCTGGTATATTGGGTCTCTGCAATCCCTGCTCGTAGAATTGACAATCAATTTATTTTAATCTTTTTTACATCTGTGTGTGTGTGTGTTTTTCTTGAGTTTTAGTCCTTCTGAAATTAGTTTAGCGCGGTGTTCTAAAACTAGGGCGAGTCCATGCAGACCTGGTCCAAGTAGGAATTTCCTACATTTTGGTATTGTAACAGACAACTCGGACTTAGGAACCTGCTGAGTCTTGAGTCCGAGAATTGTTTTTGAACCATGTTTCCATGACTTGGCCGGGCCCAGTCCGAGTATTCGGAATTTCGGACTTGTATGAGTTACTGGGACATACCCTATGGGTGAGTCCTAGTAGGCCTGAGAGTTGTGTGTACAAGTAGGGGCACATAAAAAGTTCTAAAATTTTTTAAAAAATTATAAAAAATATGTGAATGCTGGATATATTTTTTCTATGTGATTTGGATTTTCTGGAAATGATTTGTGGGTGTTTGTTTTCCATAACCCCTATTTTTGTATTTTCCTCTTTTGGATTGTTTTAAAAAAATCTCCCCATCTATAAATCAGATTTTTTTAGATCCATTTTTTTTATTAGCTTTTTAAGCTTATTTGGATTTTGTAAGTTTTATTTTACTTTTGCTACCGTCATTATATTTTTCACATATTTTAAACTTTAGAACTTTTCTTTGTCGTGTACATGACTCTGGCGAGTCCACTCGGACTTGCTTGAGTGAGCTCAGCTCAGCTGAGGGCTGAATACCTTGGCCGAGTCGAGTTTCTGAATACTGTTTTGATCATTGTTTTAGTTTCAAATGATGGACTTTTCTCACTCATGGGCAACCTTTTACCAGGTCACGCCCACTGTCCATTTCCAGAAAGATTTGGGTCTAGATAGCTTGGATACTGTGGAGATTGTGATGGCTCTTGAAGAAGAATTCAAGCTGGAGATACCCGACAAAGAGGCTGACAAGATTGATTCCTGTGAGCTCGCAATTGAGTACATCTCTAATCACCCCATGGCGGGTTAGTTGAGGAAAGGGTTTCACCATATTTTCCTTTATTTTCTTTTCCTTTCCAGTTATTTTTGTCTTCGTAGTCCCAAAAGAATTTGTATTTTTCCTGGATAATTGAAAGGTTATAGATAGAACAGGGAGTTGGAGTCTATCTTAATTAAGGTCTGTTTTATATATTTAGTGGTGAATAATGCGGTTTTAATTGATGATGATATGAAAAATTGCAGTCCAGCCATAATGGATAGTCGGTTGGTTAATTGAATATGTGAACTTGTGCTTTTCTATAAATTAGCTTCAATCCCAAAACTATAAATTGTCAGTTGTAAACCGAAGCTCTATTTGATAGGAAATGGGCTTGGTTCAAGACGGTAGAGGCTAGGATTTCATAGCCCAACGTCTCAAGTTAACCTTGTCAAAAAAAAAAAAAAAAACTGAAGCTCTATTTGCTCCTCGCTCCCTTTCATTTCCCTTTTGGTTGGAGCTCATGGTTTTCTTGTTTGTGTTGTTTAAGAACTTATGATAGGTTTCTCAAGGATCTCTAATATGTACTTCTTTTTATTTATTTTTTGATATCTGGTTTGCAAATTTGTTTTGAACTTTTTTTGCATTAGATTTAGGATCTGTCTCTGTTTTTATCCTAAGACTCTGAGAGGTTTTGTCACAGGAAATTTATCAAAGAAAAACTCTTAAGTGTACAAATACTACAGTTATGCCTTGCCTTTCTTTCTTTCTTCTTCTTCTTCTCTTTTTCGTTTCTTTTCTTCAAGATATTGCTTTTCAAGTGAATTTGAGAAGATGCTGCCTGTTTGTCCATTTTGTTAAACTAATGGCAGATATTCTACATTAATGAAATACAGTTATGCATCCCAAAAAAAGGTTATATAATTTATAGTGGATGGTACCCAAATATTTGTTAACCAATGTAATAAATGTATTCCATGAAAGGTATGAGCATGTGTGATTTTTGTACATTGTTTCAAAAAGCGGACCACCCAGTGCCTGGGCGGTCGCCTAGGCGGATTTCCCTGGGCGCCCACCTGAACCCACCTAGGTGGCCGCATAGGGCCTACCCGCCCGCCTGAACCCACCTAGGCGGCCGCTTAGGCCTGCCCTCCACCCAAGGGCGGAATTGCGGCTCTTTGAGAGTATATTTTGGTTGTTTTTTTAATATTAAAGAGACAAAATTGTGGGTTTTAGGTTCATTTGAAACCTAAAACTCATTAGAGGCTATTTTAGAGAGAGAACCCAAAAAAAAATATTTCTACTGGGCCGTCCAAGTTCTAGGCGTCCGCCTAGGCACTGGGCAGCCTGGACCCCCCCAACCGCCTAGGAGCCGCCTAGCGCTTTTTGAAACACTGTTTTTGTATTGCAAGTAACTAGATCATTCCGTAATTCTCATCATGAGTTACAAGACTGTTATCTTGATACTTCCATAGAAAGACAATATTTTATATTTTTAATATAGTACACAAAGATATGGAAGCTTTGGAACACATGTAGGATTAATTATTATCCTTACGTTGTTCAGTCTTGTCTTTTGTTGAGTTATACTTCACTCAACCCAATATTTTTGGCATATGATGTGTGTCTAATGCAGAAGATCTTTACGAGATATTGGCCTACCGTCAACCATATAAACAGGTTACTACGCTGTGAAGTCTTGTAAAGTCATAACTGGTATTTAAAGAAAATCTCCTAGTTTTCTCAACATCTTCCCCATTCAGCTAGTTATTTTGATTTTATGTAGTAGCATGTATTGTTCTATAGTAAGTATTTGGAATGGATCATGCATCAAACTTTTACCATTTGCATATTATTGGTCAGAATTATGTATAACTTCTGATCTCTTCCATTATTGGGAGCTCATCTTTAGAATTGGTAGGCACATCATCATCTATTTAAAGTAGTAAAGAGCATCACTATTATTTGTTTGGAAAAATTCAAGCTGTGCATTCGGCCTATTTTATTGGCAAATTTTGTCCTTTTAGCATCTTGGAGGCCTCCAAATTGTTGGAAACCAATAGCTATTGCCCTAAACCCATCAATTGCATGATTGACATGCTTAGTGTGCTTGTGAATGAAGGAGAATTGACGAGTGTTAGTGATAGATATATTATTATTATATTTTTTTTAAAAAGTATAGATATAAATGCATTTAGAGGCCCTTAAGAATTGATTTTGGTGGCTGTACCAAGGTAATATCCTTCTTCAAATTGAGAACAGGGATAAGATGGGCATCATTTTGGGGTGGACAATGCGGCATTTGAGCATGGTTAGGGCAACACAAGTGTTTGTTCGTAAAATTATATGCTTTATTGTCTTTTTTAATTTTTTTTGTTTATTACAAATTTGATAGATTTTTATTTCTTATGATCAGTGGTTCTTCTCGTAAATTTCTTTTAACTGGTGGTATTCTATAAGTAACGAAAGATCCAGCAATGTTATGGTAATATGCATGAAATTATAAATGAGGAAACCCACTTGATTATGGATTAATCACTAGCAGAAATCTTCAGTCTTAGAAAAAACTCTGTCAAAAGAATATACTTTTGGAGCAGAACAGTTTTCTTTGAAAGACCAGTCTCCACCGAACCCAATTCTAGTTGAGGTCTTCTCTTGGAACGCTTGCACTTCTTCAATGTTTCTGACATGGAATTTCTTTTAAATTTTTTTTGAACATACAATTACCTGAAAGACCTATGTTGTATCTATATGTATGTTGTACACAAAGGTGATGTATGCACATATGTATGTATGTGTGTGTATATGTATGTTGTACAACACAGATAGATGTCAATTTAACTGGATCGGTTATGTAATATGTTTGTAATCACATGAAACTTCCAAAGAATCAAAGGAATTTTTCATGTGTAGCAACTTATGTGGTCTGGTGCAATTGCTTGGATTTGGAGGGCCTCTTTGCATAGTCATGGAAATAGCATATAACTTAATGAGGCCTTTGTGCCTTTTGTGTGCATGGGCCATGGCTTGTCCTAGACACTTTCAAGATATTAAGAGCATGCCTTGTGAGCATTTACTTGACCTTTACTTGTAAGCACAATTTTCATGGCATGTGTTTAAGTCTTGAGATATGGGTTCTATTCGGAGAACCCACCTTGGAGTCATAACTAGAGGGTAATCTTTTGGAAAGGTGCACTTGGTAGTGTGAAGTTGGAAACAAAAGCCAACCAAACTCATGAACAAAGAACAAATCCAGTCGAGGGTATCACACATTATTAAAATGCTCATAGGAAAAGGAACTAAAAGCAATATTTTTTATTTAGGTGATCAAAATTCTCTCATGCATGGAATAGGAATCTTTGAGAACATCTAGATGCCTTAGGACAGTATGCATAAACCATAGTAAATATTGATCTAGAGTTGTCGGAATGTGCTAGGTGTCCCACATGGTGTATTTCTGAAGGGCATGCGTTAGGAGTCAAATTAGCTACTTCCAAGAGTGTGGCAGTTACTCTATGGGACAATGACCCTGATTGTTGCTCCACTGACTGAAAATTTATTTGGGAGGGTATACCATGCAGAATTTTTGTGTGTATGGTATATGCCACACGAGCGATGCATCGACTCTCTAATCATGGACTGAGTTAAGCTTAGTTCTCATTGATAGATATTTGCCCAGTTGTCAAAAGAAAATATGATAGATATCTGCCTCCATAGGGTTGATCTCCACACCCATTGCTGTGAATGGATTTTCGATGCTTTGGTTATGTACGATGTAACATAGATATGATTTGGATTGTATACTTGTTTTTTATTGCAACAATCTTGTATCTTAAAACAGGAGCTCCATTTGTGAAATATCAGTGAGGGTGGTTCACCACCCTTACAATTATTTTATCTAGGTAGCCCCTAAAGGACTCAATGAACTTGTTAATGACCATGAAGCCTAAGAGGATGCTTCCAATTTGTAGTCATCCAGCGGACTAATCAGAAAAAAGAAAAAGAAAAAGTAAAGATGTAAAGGATATGACATCTTGTAAGCCTGAGAGTTCAATTCAAAAAGCCATAACAATAGTATAAATCAGCGTAAGAAAACTCGTTTTGAATTATAAAAACTTGCCCTAGCAATTCCATTATTCAAATGCAGCCAGTTCTACAAATGAAAATACTCCTAATGCGTTAGGATTTCTCCTTTAATATAATTTTTGTGTTGATTGACTGATACATAGTTCACCCCCCCAATGTGGTAGCATTATGGTATGACTTTTGGTGTGGACTTGGGTTTGGTTCCATTAGAAGAGATGAATTGCATAAAGGCACGGCAACCTCTGCGGTTTACAAAATAGATGATTTGTGCCAATGTTTTTAGATTCACCTTGGCCAGAAACTCACCACTAGCCGAGGTGAGTTTCTCTGGCTAGTCCTATTGGAGTTACTAGGACTTGCCTGAATAATGCAAAGCAGGGAAAAATGTAAAAAAATAAAAGGAAATGTAAAAAATTGTTGAAGATCAACAAAAAGTTAGAAGTAATAGAAGTTAGTAAAAGATTATAGAAGGTAAACAAAAATATATAAAAGATGGATTACTGAAAAATTTGATTTGTACTATAAATATTTAAGAAAAATACAAAAAAAGGAAAAATAAAATATTGGTTTATGTGATAACATAAGTACCCAAATCATCTTAAAAACCATCAAAGTTATCAAAAAACATATTTATAAATATTTTTATCTTTTTTGATATTTCTTGTGTATTATACATTTCTTTATGGTGCCCGGTAAGATAGGCACCGCACCCAACTCACCCAAACTCGCGTCATCAGGCCAAGTGACTGAGCCTAGTATCAAAGGGTGGGTCATTGTTTTTGTGCTTTTGCTTCTTCTGTGATAAAAGGACACAATGTGACTTCGTGTAACTTGGTTCTTACACAAGTTGATACTGGCCTGGCGGGGGAGATTATAAAGTTGAGTTTAAAGTTTGGCTAGGTGTATTGGGCCTGATCATCCCTACTGTGATCTAGGGTTTAAAGTTTTGGCTAGGTGTATTGGGCCTGGTTAACCCTATTGTAAACTAGGGATTAAAGTTTTGGCTAGGTGTAGTGGATTATCTTTGGGATAAGATTTAGGAGTTGGGCTTGGCTACAGATTGGATAAATTTTAGGTATTTGGAATGAGTTAAGATTAGAATGGTTGAGGAGTTTGACAGGATTAAAGTTCAGGTATTTGGAATGAGTTGGTTTAGAATAATAAATTTTGAGTATGATTAATAAATTTTAGGATTGTGAAGGAAGAGTTTTTAATAT